CATTATAAATTCATAGATCATATATTATCGTATTAATAATATTAATATTAGCTTCACATGTGTTTCGTCATTTTTCTCATTCTGCCCAGTCTTGGAAGACTTGAGGCATTGCTGGAGGTCCTGGTGCCTGCCTTTGTTCCGCTGATCTGCACAGATGGTTCGTTCCAGACGGTTCCAGATGTAACGGATCCTTTGTCGCCGAGGATCCGGAACAGAATAGCTCCTACCGAGATCATTACTTGGTGCGCTTCGAGCTCCAGCTTCACAGCATGTCCCTGTTTAAGCAGATCATGTTAAGCCAGGATGAACATTCAGCACCTCCCATAGCATGATCCTCCCTGTGCAGGATGTGCCATTGGACCTGCCCACTTCTCAGATTCGAATTTCGTTCAAACTTCATGCCACAACACGACACGACTGCACCAGCAGGCACTAGTGCATCCCATCATATCCCATCCCATTCTTTGATATTCTTTGGTGATTAGTGATCATTGGTTGGCTGAAGTGTTTCCAACTGGTCATGACATGTCATGACATCACTCATGTTATCCAGCTGATTCCAACTGATTCCAACTGATTCCAACTGGTATCTCTGGTGGAGGTCCAAGGTGCTCTTTGTTGGAAGCCCAGCACGTCCCGATGTGTCCCGATGTGTCCCATGGATCCGCGGATCGCGGATCCAATGGATCCAGGTCTGCACAGCCAATGAGCTGGACACCATTCCAGGCCCTTTGCTGGATCGAATGGAGGCGCTGGAGACCAAATTCGCTAAAAATAATTTAATGATATATATATATATGTTGGAGAGAGAGATATATAGATAACATAAGATAACTAAAGAATCTAAAGATGTTCATGCCATATTATTGATCGTTGTTGGTGATTTAGACATGTGTAGGCATGTTTTGAGTAATGTTGAATGGACTAAATTGTACTGGTGTAACAGTGTACATCATATGTTTGACATGAGTTTCTACGGCATGTGCATGTTTGCAAAGGCAAAGACATCCGAATTTATACTGTGAAGAATAGGAACGATGTTGAGGTTTACCTCTACGTCCTTCAACTTTTTGACAGCGGCAGGTCATAAGAATAGCAGGCTATGTTTTCGAGGAGAAGCTGGCCATTGCAAACCAGTGATCTATGGAATTGAACTCTGTGAATTTTGTGAATGTTTTAATTTGGCACATTGATACAAACCTGCATCTTGCCAGCATGCAGGTACCTCATCCCTTCAACCATGGAGGAAAATGGTGTCGGCCATGGCCTTGCACTCCGTAGCTTTCAGATGCAGCATTCCAATGCACTACAAAAAGTATCCCAAGGATTTCCAAGGTATGTTTATATAATGATCTATATCCATGTATTGAGTAGTTTATCTGTACATCTCTCTATTCGTATGTGCTGCATGTGCATAAATATTCCTCCGTGGAGAGAGAGAGAGAGATTCTCAGATAGACGGATAGATAATGGTATAGGGATGATTAGGGATGGAAAGATGGATACATGCGTCACGCGTCTATTCAATTTGTATTCATCCGTGGCTGGAGTCCTTGTGGCACCTGCGATGAGGCGATACCAAGCTATCCCTGGAGGTCCCAAGCTTGAGTCCAGCAGTCCTTACCATCAAGCCATGAATTGGGCCAATGGCATAAATTCTTGCAGAGTTTGTGTAGAAAGCGGAAAGTTTGCGTTGTTTTTTGCTTCACTTCATCATCACAGGCTCGGCCTTTAGCACCGTTCTAACTTGGTTAGCATCCCATAGTGTCACAGAACGGGGCCGATGCTTGCGACAAGGATGAAGCTGTGCGCAAGATGATCCGCGATTACGTGGGCCTCGCAGTGTGTTTTTGCTGTGCTTTCCCCATGACATTTTCACATCGGAACATGAGCTCAAACATAATTTGCCTAGAGCTGCGGGAACTATACTTGCAGGCAAGAGAGGCTCGGCTGTTGTGATGCCTGCCAGCTGTGGGCAGTTGAGCAGTCAGAATAAGCTTTCAATAGAATATGGTTTCTTATTTTGAGATGACAGGCTTCCCATATCTAGGTACATTATCAAACTCAAATCTCCGAGGTGTCAAGTGACAGTAGGGTGCAGTCAGACACATTCAGACTCCCTATTCCGACGTTTTGCACCCCTCTTTTGCGCGTGAGTTTTTCAAGGCAGGCGTCCGTCAACTGCGCAAGCTCCTGGATAAGGTGTCTCGCAAGGCTTGGGGAGCCTGCAAGACCGCAGAAACTTTGACCTCTGGCACCCCTGGCTAGCGCACCTCTCCAAATTAGAGGTTTGAACGTCGATTCTGGACTCGCAAACTAGCAGTCACTCTGGGGCTAAGCAAATGAATGCAGGTTGCCCTTAGCATGGTGCGGAAGAAGGAGGAGGCAGATTTTCCGTGGATGTTGTCAGCTATGCTCTCTTTTCGTGGTGGAGGGCATGGCAGGGCAAGATCATGCAAGATCACTTATGTTCACCGATGTTAGGACGACCCTAGTTCTGCTTGCCAGCATGACTCAAGGGGCCTTGGCGGGGCCAGGAACATCCAGCCGTCGTTGTGGGCGTTGCTCTTAGACCTCGCGCTGAGGGATGTCAGGCTTTGTCTGGAAATGAGGTACTGCATATCATATTTGATCATATTTGTACATCCCTTTGAACATATTTAAACAAATTAAAAATATTTAAAAATATTTAAACATGACAATGTTGAATCGGGAAAATCACTATTGACCACTGTATTTTGGGGTGTCCCTCTCTAACACAAACCCCATTCAGAGCCTGAAGCTCAGGCTCTGACAACCTCACGACCTATATTGGCCAGCCTGTATTCCTCACAGACAGGTGGAAGTGGTGTATGATGCACTGTATGTTACAGTGTTGATGTCATGTTGATGTCATCAATGTCATCCCGGAATGGGAGGATTTCATGGTTACAAGTTTCACTATTCGCTGATGGTATGTGAATTTTCAGCGCAAATCTTGTCTTTTTTAAAGTTGTACATTCTCAGTTTCCGATTCTTATCCTGGCCTGACACAGAGAAGACGAGCACTTTGGTGAAGGCTCTTCGGCCAAACTATGCCTCCTGGTGTTGTCGGACCCTTACACCGAGAAAGATGCTTTCAGAGTGGCAAAGGGGTGCACTTCACCACATTTCCTGGGTCTTTGTTTATGACTCTTTCATACTGTTTTGCCGGGTAGTGCAGATGTTGAGTTGTACTTCAGAATCCTGGCTGAATGCTGCCATTTGCATTCAATTTCAGGCGGGCGAAACTTGAGCATTTGCCATGGATGACCCTTTCGCTATTTTGCGGATTCCGTCCTTTACTGTGCGGAAGGAATCGGACCTTCCAAAGCTCAAGGAGAGGGCCAAGAATCTCGTAAAGCAATATGAAAAAGTCAACAAGTTTGACAAAGCTCGAGAAGTGGAAAATGCTTACCGGGCAGTGAAAGAGATGGTGATCAAGAGAGCAAATTGCGCTGGATCACAGGCCTTCAACAAAGTCATGGTCAATCGCCCTGCAAAGTCGACTTCAACCAAGGCGAAGCCAGAGGGAAAGCCTCAAGCAGCTGGGCCAAAGAATCCTGCTGAGGTGCATTTCTTGAAGGCTCAGGGTGCTTCAAAAGCTCCAGCCGCTGCCCCTGCTCAACCAGCAGAGCCCTACAAAAGCCGCGAGGAACGGCTGAGAGAAAAACTGGAGGCCAGAAGAGCAGCTGCCAGTGAGAAGAATAAACGTGCAGCTGCCATTAAAGAAAAGTTGGCTGCCAAACGTGCCAAGAAAGCTGGGGATGCTGGGGATGCTGGGGATGCTGGGGATGCTGGGGATGCTGGGGATGCTGGGGATGCTGATGCAATGGCCAGTGCGAGCTCCCCTGCTGAAGCCTCGCCCCTGGAGAACATGGCCAGTCCGGACAGCTCTGGCGTGGACGCAGAGGCGGGTGAGGAGGACCCAAATCCTTCTGATGCTCCAGAAGATGCAGGTGATGTGGCTGTCGACTTCTTCTGATCCGCTGGGGTGGTGCTTGTCATACTGCCTCCACAGCTCAGGTCTTGAGCCGACAGCTGCGCAGTCGTCTCACCTGTGGCTTGCTGGCAATCCTGCTGGCATGCCATGCGTCATATATGCAATGCAAAGGTGCTCATGAATTTGGCGTTTGTGTTGTCCTGCAATCCCACATTACAAGTGATTTTATAATTGTTATACAACTTCAAACTCCCTTGTTACGTGATTGAACCTTTTCTCTAAGTCACTGCCCCAGGTTGGCGGCTTGATTCTTTTTGCTAGTCAAGGGGACCCACTGAGACATCATGACACCTGAGTAAGATAGTCTGCTTACAGTCATCAGCTGAACACGAGCAGAGAGCAGAAAATGCAGAAGCAGCTACGACGGTGGCTCGGGACCTTTTGCAAATATGATGTAGTGTTGATCACTACAGTCACTACAGTATCACTAGCACTTGTAGTTCATGGAGAAAGTATGTGGACATATGTGGACACGATAATCGATATATACAGTCTAGTGATCTTCTATATTCTTCTATATCCTTATATGATATAATGTGATATAATAATGATACAATGTGACGAAGAAACACACCAAAAAAAAACACATGGCACTGGTCGCATCGCCAGGTCATGGGCCTTGCCTGGACAAACATGGGAGGAGCCACGCTGTTCATCGAAGCACGAGGCGCTGCTTGCGTTAACCTGCGTTTTCTGCGCATATATTTGGTTGGATTATGAACCATACACAAATTTTGCGGAGATGTTACCATCAAAAATAGGCTGCTGCTATCAGGCATTTAGATTCAGTTGTTGTGATTGACGTTACTTCCAGGCAATAGGTGCAGTAAGGAGAAGTTAGAATGGGTTTTGTTGTTGTTTGAAAGCAAGTCAAGCCGAAGATGTCGACCCTAAAGCACTGAACGTTTTGGATGCTCAGCGAGGCAGACTCCCCGTAGAAGGTGCGCTGCATCAGTGTTTGATGATGTCCCATCCAAAAGCTTGGCAGTAGGATTCACACACACAAGGAGGTTGAAAAGATGATGATCGATCGGATAGATTCGGATAGATGCCGGATAGATGCCGGATGATACTTTGTGAGAGAGAGAGAGTAATAGCACATTAATAGCACTAGGAACTGCGACTTCCATTTTCCATGGCAGGTGTTGAGATTGCCAGGGTTTCCATCGAGGCTCGAGTCTGAAAAGGTGGCTTTGGGATGCGCTTTTTTCCATTTGTCCTTTCTTTTTTATGTGCTGTTGAAAGATTGTCAAAGAGATCATCTTGTCTCAATGGCCGCTACCTTCATGGTGGCCTATCAATTTAAATTTAGATGAATAGGTTGGACATTATCGGGGTGAAATTTGGGTTTCAGAGCTGGAAAAGCTTGCGCTCCTGTTGACATGTTTCAGGGCAGGACCTAACCCTGCTCATGCCCAGGGAAGTCCTGAAACGGAAGAGAGAGAAAGAAAGACTCAAACTCAGAGATGGTAAGATTGGAAGCACATGTAAGCACAATGTAAACTTGTGTAGAGTTGTGTGAAGTTGTTCATGTCAAAGATTTCAAGACTGTAGCGCTCGGCTGGAAGCACGTGCGTCATTCGCTAGTCTGTCCGCACGTTGTGTGCTCCCTGTGTGCACCCTGTGTTCAAGGCCCAGTGAGTCTTCACCCCTGGGCGAACCCAGCGACATGCAGGTAGGAGAAAGGACATCCCATGGCATCTTTCATCTGTAAAGATTGTAGAGCAAGAATTAAGCAAGTCAGCGGTGACGGTGTGCAGGTCACTGGCCAGCTTGGCACAGTGATGAACGAGTCGAGCAGCATCTCCCTCACGTGCTCCTCTCACTCCTTGAAGTGAGCCCAGGGCATTCCACAAGTGCTTCCAAGGTACGCGAGGATGTTCATTAGAGAGTTTGGAACCCAAGATGCTCCAATGGTTCTTGTTCCGGTGTCCAAAGAGCCTCGCAAGCGGATGGCCAGAGACCCCCCGGATCCTCCTCCATCCTGATCCCTGGCTGTTTGATCCCACATTACATCACATTACCATACAAAGGCGATACATTACCATTACATTAGCGTTACATTACCCACATCCATGACATGAGGAGCAAGCTGTTAGCTGGGCCGCGTGGCTTGACAAAGCGAGGTTGGATCCACAGAAGTCGTTCCTCGACAAGGCGTGCACATCGTTTAAACATTGTTTAAACCAAGTCGAAACGCAAACAGACCAGTTATATACATTCATATACCAGTAATATCAGTAATCAGTTAATTGTCCCCGGCCTGTTCGCCAGATGTGACTTGATGTATCTTGGAAGTTCACATGCTCAGGCGCAGATTCATTTGAACGTCCCGGAGGGAGCCACTCCAAAGGACTGTGATGGCTGCATCGCTCACCAGGAGCATCGCTCGGAGCGTTTTTTTTCAGTTTGGGATCGCCAGGATGGACCGTCAGCTGGGGTGACCATGGCAGTGGCCCTTGTCAGTTTGGCTATGGACATCCCAGTGAGGTGCCGTGGGATGCCGCCACGGCTGATCCACACTGCTCCAGTACTCTCCCCTGGTCCATCCTGGTCCCCTGGTGCTAAAAGTGTCCAGGTCAGATGTCGCAATGACTGGTGAGCTCACCCTGATGGGCAAAGTGCTCAAGGTGCAGCTGGTTTGTCTGCAGTTGTCGGCGTGAAGGGTGCGGGATGGCCAAACATGCCAAACGCAGTTAGATGGATCATTCACCAAGATTCACTAGGCATCTAAATCCCATCAAGTTTCAGGCTTCAAAGAACTCTGGAATGGTTCATGATCTACACACACACACATATATATATATGCGTATAATATCGTATAATACGCATGGGAATCCTCCGTTGATATAATATAATGTATACATTGGACTAATATTGGGATGCTACTGGACACATTCCTGGTGGTTCTATCATGATATACTGTATTTACATGTATCTACATGTTTGTGTAATGTTTATCTTGATATGCCCATGGCCGCCCTGAGGTGGGCGGCATTCAGGAGAAGGTCATCGCAGCGCGTCGCGAGAACGTCAAGACAGTGCTCATGTGGGTGACCTCAGAGGGGGAACCGAAGGTGGAACCCCGTTTTTTAGGTCCAAGGTGGCACTGGAAAATGCTCAACTTGTAATATGGGAAAATAAATCAAGAATGGATAGATATTGGATAGAAAAAAGGATACAAATGCATGTAAATTACGTGCATGTAGATGGAGATATTGATCCAGGTATTGTGATATGATATAAATGGATGACGTTGGTAGTTGGAAGGGACTCCTCTGCACCAGGTAGTCATGGAATCCAAGAAATGACTAGTTACGACTGGGGCTTTCATGGGCTTTCCAGCTGAGTGGGATCAGAATGCAATGACGACTCAACCAGGTAACCAAACGATGATTCGCAGGCTTCACCGTACTCCAATCTTCGTGGGTGATTTCAGGGGATTCCAAATGTCTTTTTATGTCTTTTTATTCCTGCATAGCCTTGGGTTCTACCTGCAGCCTGTGGCTTTGAGTCCATGCATTGTTTCATCCACAAGCGCAAGATGATGGCAAAACATCATCAGCCCTGCTGGGCAGAGGATTTCATATGATTTCATTAGTTCCTTTGTTAAACATTCCATGACTCATCATCCCTGCAAAGTTCAGAGATTCATGAGGCTTGGAGGTTGCGAAATGGGACTGGGCAGGTAGAAGTTATTGAAGTTATGATCCCCAAGGTTAGTTCTTTGCGTCCCTTAGGTGCCCAATGGAGCCATGAATATCATGAATATCATGAATATCATGAATATCATGAATATCATGAATATCATGAATATCATGAATATCATGAATATCATGAATATCATGAATATCATGAATATCATGAATATCATGAATATCATGAATATCATGAATATCATGAATATGAAGCCAGCAAGTAAAGATAAGATAAGATAAGTAAAGCAAATTCAGAATGTTTCCATCACACTCCACCGCCATGGCGCAGTTTTTGTTCGCTCACCGTGACTTGCGTGACACGCTGTCGGCGCCGCGACCGTTGCTGCCGGAGATCCGAGCGTCACCCGAGATCCGGAGAAAGTGGCGGCCACAGCAGCGGCGAGGCATGGACCGCGCAACTTAGGGACCCAACAGTTTGATTTGAGGATACCAGATGGGTATGGCTTAAGATGAACCGCTCAAAAAATATAGTTATATGATATATAAATGTATATCATGTTTATGATGTTGTGAAGGCATGTGTAGACCGTATTTAAGGATATATTTGGTTTTTGTCTATCAAAATGGACACTGTTTGCGGCCCATATTCCCTTTCTTATGCTTGTTACTCAGTAGACCTGTTCCAACTTGTTGGGCGGATCAATCACTTGTCCCAGCGGGTTCGCTCGGACATCCACAAGTTGCACGATGACCCGGGCCGGTGCAGATGATAATTTCCTAATTTCCCTGGGAAATCGAGCATCTGACAGCGATTGCCGAAGGAGGACAAATTCAAAGGCAGCACCCCATTCTGTCACTCTGATGAGGCATGGCTTTTCTGGCAGCCTTACTTCCTGTGGCCGTTCGCACGGCACTGCGTTCACTAAAGCGCCCTACAGAACCATTCGGTACTGCAGAGCTCTTACAGTTAGAAGCTTGACACAAATGCAGGCAGATGCTGAACACTGCTGACCCACCTGCCAGCACGATCATGATCATGATCATCATGATCATCATGATCATCATGATCATCATCATCATCATGATCATCATGATCATCATGATCATCATGATCATCATGATCATCATGATCATCATGATCATCATGATCATCATGATCATCATGATCATCATGATCATCATCATGGTGGTGGTGATGATGATGATGATGCTGCTGCTGATGATGATTGCTTAGTGCCGGTGATGCTGATGCTGATGATTGCTTAGTGCTGATGTTGATGTCGAAGAACTGCCGAAGCTAGTTTGAATCTGAACCGTTATACATTTGCGGGCAGGACTAGGGGTTGGCCCAGAACTCATTGTATCATGTTGAATTGTTGACGTTTTGTTTGCTCGTCATTAACAGTTCCTCGTCATACATCCTATGTTCAAGGGTAACCCATGTCATTCCCCAATCTGTCTTGTCAAGTCTGAATTCGTGACCCTCTGCGTGAATCAGCTGTCCATGTTCCTTCAATTCAGGAGTCTCAAGCACTGATCTTTTATGTTTAATAGCGGTTAATTGTTTCCATGGGGGCAGGAGATTTGATCCCTTCCATAAACCTAGTCACTAATTAGTTGCTAGCGGTACGATGGGCGATGGAGGGAGGGAGAGAGAGAGAGAGAGAGACCGAGAGACCGAGAGAGAGACCGAGAGAGAGACCGAGAGAGAGACCGAGAGCAGAGAAGAGAAGGGAAGCGGAAGCGAAGCGAAGGGAAGGGCAGGGAAGGGAAGAGAAGAAAAGAGCGTGAAGAGAAGAGAAGACAAGATAAAAGAGAAAAGAGAAAAGAGAGAGGAGAAGATAAAAGAGAAACGAGAAAAGAGAAGAGAGAAAAGAGAAACGAGAAAAGAGAAAAGAGAGAAGATAAAAGAGAAAAGAGAGAAGAGAAAAGAGAGAGAGAGAGAGAGACAGAGAGAGAGAGAGAGAGAAAAAAAACAAGAGGTGGTGATTAATTGTTCCATGGGGGTAGGAGATTTGATCCCTTAGGTAAAGCCTACTAGCGATATGTGACGTTGTGTCATGAGGGGCCGAGGGGTAGGAGATGTGATTCGCCATGGAAACCCTAAAGGCGGTATAGTTACTTGATCCCTGAGGGTGGGAGATTTGTTTGTTTAAGTAAACCTTCCTGGCTAGTTGATGGTGAACGCCCCTGTTGGTTGATTGGGGACCCAAGAAAACCAGGGCTTGCCATTCGGGAAAAGTTATAACTTGTTCTTAGTTAGAGGATAATAGATCATACATTGATCATATCCCTTTATTTTTCCATATTATTCCCAAGGGGTCAATATTCGCCGCACTTCCGATGGCCCTAGTGTGGTGTCGTAGCCCAGGAGATGAAGTCAGATGAGCCACAAGCTTTGTCAGAACTGCTCGAAGGTAGGGCATGATGCTAACCTCAAGGGCAGGCAGTGTTTGGATGTGTATAGTGGTTTAAACATGTTTAAACTCCCCTACACTCCCATGTACGGTTCCAATGTTGGTTTGTTTAAGAAACTCTTGGATTTCCACGTCAGGTTTGGGAGCCTTATCCACTGCAGTTCGTGGGGTGCCCATCCTGCGGGAGACAGCCACTGACCAGACACCAATGTGGAGAGTTGCCATTGTATCTTGGACGCAGCAGTTGGCTGTGGATTATTGGGACCTATTTTGATCTATTTTGGACATATCTAGACTGTTAGCAGGACTGTTGGCAATGCGATCCATAGGGCCAGGGGCTAGTGTACTTTGGTATGAGTCTTGTGACACAGCTTGGCAATCCTTGGCATGATGATGTCTGCATCCACCTTTGCAACTTTGGGGTTGTTTACGTTAGGTCACAGGCATGTTCCCAGCCAGTGTTGATGTGGAGAAGATCATGGCCGTTGTCCAAAGTTGCTTCGACCTGCAAGCACCAGCTTCCTGGACTGTGACAAGAGTTGAAGATACTCGGTATCAGATTGCGCGATTGTCCTGAACAGAACCGTGTCAGTTAAACATAGTTTCCATCTCAGAGCAATCGCAGATACCATAGTGATCACCAAAATTCTGTGTTACCGCATGCGCACTCTTCAAGTCTCCTTTCCTACGATGATGTTTCAGATTGTTCAGAGGCTGTTTGCCCAAACGCTAATCTCGGCACACGGAAATTCGCACTCGTTCGCTGCATTCTGCATCAGAAATCAAGGATATCGATTGGGTGGAGCATGTTCAACGCAGCTGGAAAGCCATGAATTTGGGACAAGGATTTCAGGTCCTATTGCCGTGGCATGATGGCCCCGAAGGTGGTGCAACTTCCAATGGTCGCTTGGTGCTGCGCTTGGAAGGCGGTGCTGCCTTTGGGCTGGGGGATCACCCCACAACGCAAGGTGCGGTGAAGTTCTTGGAGAAGGCGAGTTGGGGCATGGCAAAGACGTTGGCACTGCTGGATTGGATGATAGTAAATGATCGCAATATACCCTCTGGTTATGTCAAAATAGCTATTGAAAATGGCCATAGAAATAGTGGATTTTCCCATGAAAAATGGTGGATCTTTCCATAGTTACGTTAGTTTACCAGAGGGTATTATATAGTAATAAATGACAGTATATTAAATATATATCAATATAGACATAGAGTAAATGATAAATGATAGTAATGATATAGTAATGATATAGTAAGGATATAGTAATGATATAGTAACGATGTAGCAATGATATAGTAGTGATATAGTAATGATATAGTCATGGTATGTGATGATATGTGATGATGGCCTAAACTTGTGCGAAAAGGTTCTCACGGATGATGGAAGGAGGAGTGCCACTTGACTGCAAGAAGTGCAAACGTGTCAGAATATCGTGTATGCAGTATGCATCAGTGTGTGCGCATCATATTACCCATATGTTGCAATTGCATGGAATTGCCACTTGCGAAGAGATGTCCATCCTCCCCCACCTCAGTTTCCAGTGGGTGAAAAAGCGCCGCACAAAGGCTGTTTTGGACTATGGCTCTGGATCTGGAGTGCTCGCCATTTGTGCAGCTCATTTAGGTGCATCTACTGTGGTTGGTGTTGATGTTGACGAAGGATCTGTGGATACTTGTCAAGGAGGGGGGAATAGCTATGAACATAGGTATTTGATGGTGTTTGGATGTTTTTGGATGTTCCTGGTTGTGCAAGTTTCAGACACCTGTATATCGGTGTTCGGTTGTGTTGTCTCAAACGTTTCTTGGGGTGACACATGCAGTCAATTCACCAGCTGCTTGCATGCGGAAGAATGGGGATTTCTGAATTGTAGCAGTTTTCATTCCAAGCTGCAGCCTAACCAGTCCATTAAATGTAGTAGAGAGATACAGAGAGCACTAGCGTTTGTGCTGCGCTTTTTGAGGTGTGATAGTTGCCAAAAGAACAAAAGGACACAACAAGACAGACAAGAGAGCACAACAAATGAAATTGCAAAACGAAACTCTGTGGATATCTGTGGTCCGATTCCTTCAACTTATTGGCATGTCGGTTTTCAGTATGTGGTAATATGTGGTATTTGTACATGTTTGTACTGTATTTTCGGCCAAGGAGTCTGCAAAGCGAAGCTACGCATCAAGCCTTGCAGAGAGCAGCATAGTAGTGTTCCGTCGCAGTCCTGAGGATTTCGCAGACGCAGAGGACGATTTTGAAGGGCAACCAGAGTAATCATGGTCATAGAAGATTGATCCATGGTGATGCAACCATTGCTGCGTGGTATTTTTCCAATTTTCTGGACTGTCTGGGCTGTATGCCGATTTTGCTGTTGAAAGCTGGCACTTCCATTTCAACAGTATTTTACCTTCAAAAAAAACACAAAAAGAAGCACATCAGTTTATCCATTCCTGCCTCACTCGCACTGGCTCATTCCATACAACCAAGATAGGCTTGGAGAGACTGCAGTCGGTCCAGAAAAACGCACTGTCGCAAAGTTTGTTGCGGCACGAGCACCTTGAATGCTCACTGACCCAGGAGTTTGCTTCTGGGTTGGTCCAAGAGTATGGTCCTTTCAGCGTCGTTGTAGCAAATATTCTGCGAAGGCTTCGGAATTTTTGAAGGTTTATGTATTTATTTGTTGTTTGCCACTTCGTTCGGGTGGGAAGTCAGTTAGTTAGACATGTGCCACTGCCCCTTCGTAGAACAGAAGAGCAAAAGAATATCAGTATGGCAAGCAGCACGCGTTTATAATTTGACAGTGAAGACTTCAAAGCAGCGAGTATTTTAGGCACGAAATCTCTGAGCCAAAAGGAAATGTTGATGTCACTCCAGTATTTGATGATATCATATGATATCATACTTGATATTGCAACAAATTATAGGAACATGGAAAATCAGCAGCACCGTGTCCTGGCTGTGTCATGCCATGGCCATCAGGCCTTTGGTTGGCCTTGCCCCAGCTTTGGCGCGCAGTGCTGCCAGTGGGGCGCGCCTAGCTTTGACAGGGCTGCGCAGGGACTTGGGCGATGGTGACGCAGCCCCTCAACAAAGATTGGTGTTGCACCGAAACACCAGAGGTTGATGCTCAATTTGTCCATAATTTGTACTAAAAATATCTAACAAAATGCAAATTAAAATGAATCAAACACAAATAACAACCTCTTGATGTCTGATATTTTGTGGGTCACCTGATGGATGGACATGCCGCGGCATACCTACAGCACAAGAGTCAAGACTTTCAACTTGGATGGTCCTACTGAACGGGAGCAACAGCTGAAATAAAACTATATAATATACCTTTTCTATCCTTTTCTAAAATTGCCACTGACCGCCATAGCCTGGGAACCAGATCAAACTTGGGAACTATCAAGAACTGTTATCCATCAGCATCATCAGCTGGGAAAAGTCGAGCAAAACTCAGGTTCGAGAAGCCTTCAGCCCAGCTTTCCACAACTTTGTGGACATTGATTTGCCAGGTGGCTGGCTGCTGGTTGAGGCTGAGCGCGTGGAGAAAAAGATGGAAAAAGGACACGACATGACACCACACTGTGGCACTGTGGTCATCAAAAAGGTGGAACCACGGCCACCAATGGCCATTTGTCATCATTCAAGGTGGTGCCCCATAGTTGGCTAAGTTGGTTTATAACTCCCATAACTATGGTTTATGGCAGATATAACTATAGTTAATGGGGTTTATAAACCAACTTATAACTGGGGGGCACCATCCTGTTTGTTTGTCTTGTTTATTCAGAAACCGAGGCCACGCGGCAATGAGGCAGACTACCTGGAAATCAAAGAGTGCCCTTGTGGGAAGCGCCGGAAGCGCCAGATTTTTTCATAAGGTTGTGTGCGGGTCAGGTACTTGCGAGCTGGGCTCACCGCACATTTTGCCCCTTGCCGTCCTTGCCGTGCACCAGTCATTTTGCAGACTAAAAGGCTGAAAGGTCTTGACTGGCCAACGCCCAGCCAACTTATGTTTCAACTACTGTACGAAGCAGCTTCCTGTTTGAGGTCGACCATTTCGATGACGTGTACAGATATGCCTTCGAGGGCCAAGAGGCCAGAGTCATACGGAAACCTATTACTGTAATCCCCGCTTCAATGGCTAACCATATCAAAGTCACCAGCTGATGGACTTCTTTTGGATCAGTACAGCACGTTTGACCTAGGCACCACCATTGCCCTTTGAGCCAAGGGGCTTACCAGTTTGGTCCTTGGATAGTGCTACGGGATGCGAGCCAGACGTGCAGGAACTGTGACTATTCTGGTTCCCCTGGTGCAGCTTAGGCAAGCACCATTGTGACTCCAGCGGATGCCATGCCCCCGCCCCTGCCAGAGGCAAGTGCATGGTTTTTCCCCCCGCAAAATGCCGCTTGTGGGAACTGGGGCTTAGAGTGAGTGATGCCACCGGTTCCAAAGGACATCCACAATAATGCATCAAGTCTGCTGCGCAATCTCTTTATGGCTCAGAGTAGAGAGATCGATTGTTGAATTCGGAGCTCAGGATTTCCTACTCATGGCGACATTGGTAGGTTCGGATGGTTCAAGAATGTTGGCCAGATAGCAAGGGTATCTTCATTATGTTCCAGCAACGCAGCACTTCTTATGGGAACACAACTTGAGCAAGCCATGACATGACAACAACATCGCAGCTACTGCTGTATCATTTGTTGGCTCATGGATACTGGTGCTACAATGGACTGCGTTTGCATGGAGGCTCATTAATGTTGGATTATTTGGGGCGTGCTCAGCTTGAGACTATTGAATGCTATCAATTGAGTCATCAAGAATTTTTCCCATTCTGTCTTCCTGATAGTGTGTCAGTTGGAGGAAGATGGAGAAACGCCGACCCATCCTCAGCCAGGTTCAGTCAGCTTACCTGCATGCCGCACGTTGATAGAAGGAGAAGCATGTTGGAGGCGTTTGCTGTCTGACATTTGCACAAACTCAAGCTAAGGAGTTGCCGCATTTGCCTCGAATCAGAGACCTTGGACAGAGATGAGCTGCTGGCCCCATGTTTGTGCCGGGGCAGCTCCAAGCCACAACCTCAGTGGCAAGTACTCTGCTGCACGTTGACAATGGATGACGATGGCTGCCATGGGGGTTCCACAATTTCTGCCCAGTTTCTGCTGAGTTTGCCGCAGGTTTGTACATCGAAGTTGCGTGGAAGCCAAGGATGCTGTATGATGCTGTGCCATTTCATGGTTTGGTGATTGTTTACAGATGCTTGGTGACCCGAGGTTTGGACCAATGGCGGGTCAGTGGCTTTGATCCCAAAACAGCACCTCGGCTGAAGCGCTGAAGCTCTTCGCTGCGACCCGTCCCAATCTTCAGAACCTGGCCACGTCATGCCACGTCCAGGTGACGCACTGCGGTACCTGCAAGGCTCGGCCATGGCTTGGCCATGGCTCGGCGGGGTTTGATCGGTCGTCGTTGTGTGAAGCTCACGGCGCTCGGGCATTGCAGGCGAAGTTCAAGCTAAGAGAGCCTGTCAATGCCAAGGGTGCAGAGAGGGAAGTATGGCTCCTTGGCTTGGAAAGAGTTCCCAGATGTTCCCACATTCGACTCATTCGACCATAGTTTCCAGATGTTTCCAGTCACCCAGCGTGAACTCAGGGCAGAAATCGTTTGTGTCTCAGTCGACCTGAAGACATTTCAAAGATGTTCAAAGAATATCTCCAGACATATCCAGACCATGGACATCGATGTTGCCAGCACTGCTGAAACACAATGCTCTTCCTGCTTCTGAAGTGTCAATGTGACTTCCTTCTGTTTTCTACATGTACTTGTATTTGTTCTCCCTCTGTGCGGAACCACGTGGCTCAAGAAATCAAAGGAAAGAATCTTAGACTTCGTGTGTTGTCGGTGCCTCCCCGCCTTCTCAGGCCGGTACAGTACTCCAGTCCATCCATTCCAAGTAATGTTCAATGGGCAATGATCAATGAAGGATGGATATCGATAATATCGATCCATAGCCGAAACCAGATAACTCAAATAACATCAAATAACTCAAATCTGGCGGTTTCACGTCGTGTGTCCTTTAGATGACCCCGGCCCGGTGGACGGATTGACCCGGCATTTTCGGCCCTCGGAGGTGATGTTCCCCAGTTTCAGCCTGCCCTTGGACGTGTTGTGGCGGCCGAATCTGCAAGTGCCCACAGAGGCCCAGCTGGCACAGGACAATCGATATCAATCGATAAACATGTGCTGATTTTGCTGCAAAGGAAGGAGTTTTGGTTGAAAAGCCAAGAGTTGATGAAACTGGTAGGATGTGATCGGATGATGTTTATTGAATTTGATTCACGTTCATTAATTTTTGGGAGGAAGAAGCCCAATACGCCGCACAACAAGAAGCGATTCGGACACTGGAGCCCTTGAAGCAACCAATTGGCCTGGAGAAGAAGCCGCTACCTGGATGCATGCCGTGTGAGGGTTGTGGCTGATGAAATTTATGAAATAATGAGCTGGCCAAGTGCCGGGCCAGGCTTTGTAACTAGTAACTAGTGAGAGTATGCAAGCGTATGTAAGAGTAAGAATCCATATTTCATAATATTTCGATGGATAAGTTTTTATCCGTTCTTGTGTTGTGAGTTGCAGGGTTCATGGCAAACATGGGCAAACCGCAGGCCTGCTGAGCCCAATGCCCAGGCAGAGGAGGCACTGCCCCCAGTGGATCAAGCAGAGGGAATGAAACACACTGGACATAGCCAGCTGATGAGGATATATGAGGATGATGATTGAGGATGAAGCCAATAACAATTGAATACAATTGACATGAATTGACCGACCCTGAACTGTGGCGAGGATGACATGGAGGAGGCGGAAGAGGAGTATACCGACGACGAGGGCCCTCAAGATCGCTTTTGAGGATTCTGAGGGGAAGCTGAATCAACTGAGCAGCCGGAGGTTGCGCTTTTATGGCATTGTACAAAGCGGCATAACGTGCCATGCAAACTCTTTCGCTGCACTAGAGCCCATTGCCTACACTGTACTTCGCATCATATCAGGTCTAAATGCAGCGAATGCATGTAAATGCCATTTGGGGAGATTAAGGGAGGTCCATTCAAACGAAATCAGCTAAACACTGTGAGAATCATTTCGCTTTTCTCATCGGGCGAGGTAGGGCCAAAGACGCCGAGCCAATGACGAAAGGAACGATGTACAACTGAAGCGGTTGAACCTGTGCCAACCTGCAAAATGCTTGCCACGTCTTGTCGTTGACGCAGGTTACTGGTCTTCCTGTGACGACATGCGATGGTTGTTAAAGCAGTGAACCTGAAGTGACCTGAACCTGAGGTGCGGTATTTGGCCATCAGGATAGGGTTTTTCTTCACGATCGTGACTGCGCTCGGCTTCCTGACCCCATGGCTGTTGGGCGCCTGTCACTTAGCCCTTGCCGAAAAGAATTGCAATCAGATCACAAGACCTGAGATGCCATATTGAGACATGATGCCATAAAACGTCATATCACGTCATTTGCCTGTATCACGCTATATGATGCCATATGATGCCATATGACGCCATATGATGCCATATGATGCCATATGATGCCATGCACATGTCAAATTGTCAGGCGTCTGAGTCCCAGATATTATCCAACGCGTTTCTGAACCATCTCACTGTTTGAGACTTAGCCTTTTTGATCCTTCGATCCTTCGGCCAGTCCAAGCTCCGACAAGCTCCAGCCCGGATCCAGTTGGTGGTGAGGTCGGCACGTTGAGCACCTTCGTTTTGGCTGGAGGCAGGCTGCTCAAGAAGAAATGGCGCAACTAGCCACATGGTGATGATTGAAAAGCTGCAAATGCTATGAAACAGATGTGGTAAAATCATGTAAAATCATGTGCATCATGTAAAATCCTAGGGATCGTTCAGTTTATGGGCCCCTTGGGCTCCCAACTTTGCCTCATGTTGATTCATAATCAAAATTGAGAAGGATCAAAATTCCAAAAGAGACCGCATGACACAGCTGTGTTGAAGTGACATGTTCTCAGCAGCTGGCTGCAAAGCAATTCACTCGTGAGCGGGCCCCCAAGGTTGGGCTATTCTGCAAGCTCTGAACTCAATGGTTGAAGAACCTGACTACACGACTGCCATCTCCAGCTTTGTGGTGTAACAAGACGCAATGAGATGTGAAGCGGCTGAGGCACTTTGGTCTTTGAATCTATGTGGCTTCCACCCGCACAGCTGGAGCTTTGATGGGAAGGCAAAAGCTGTGCCATCTCGACGGACTTGTGGATTTATGTGTATGTCATCTAAAATGGCGTTTACTGCAGCTTTCTAATTCTATGGGATGGGACCTTCATGCAGCTTGAAGGATGCGACCCTCATCCTATTGGTCATTGCGCCTCAGTAGCAACAGCAGTAGATTTGATGTAGATTCGTAGTGTTCTGTTTGTGTGGGTTGGATGAAGCCGCTGAAGCCCCAATGAGCTTCCCCAATCGTACAATTCATCGCACACTTTTTGTGGATCCGCTTCGGAGCTTGAATGTCCCTAAGGCATGCCGATGCACTGAGACATACTAAGACATACGAAGACATGCTAAGACACACTGCCACTGTGAAGGCTCACATCATGGCAAGCAAACCACCCCAGCCATTGCAAAAGGGTATGACCCATAGTCCCATGGTTTAAAACGCACAGAGCCTGCACATGTAATCAGTAGTTTTGACTGGTCGCTGCCATACCTTGAGAAATGCTGCTATCGGCCAGGCCAAGTCAGATTTCCAGTTTAAGCTTAAGATACATCATGTCCATGTATCTCGGGACCACCCGGTCTCAGAAGAAAGTTCCAACTTGTCACAAGTATGGTAGTCTTGCTATGGGGTTTCCATGTCGATTTGAGCTTGTCTCACTCCAGATCCTGCTGGCATTGCCCCAACAGTCAAGGTTGCTGTTATCGGCGCAATCTACCTCCTGTACCAGCTATGTAAAGGCAAACGATGGGGTAGCAGCCGGTCGAGGAAAGAAGTATAAAATGTGCCAAGTCGATCCAAGTCGGGTGTCCCTGTGTCAAATCTTTGCATTCTGTACTGCATTCCTGTGTGCAAACGCTGGAGTTGCAGGCTTGTGGGAAATCGCCCAAGCAGGACAGAATGCCTGGCACTCGATCTACAGTAGCAATTTTGAGGGGAGAGTCTTGATCACAAATTCTATTAAATTCTGCTGAGGTTGCATCCGCAAACCTGCGTTTCCGCAACAAAGAAATGAGACAGCGTGTCGTTGAGCGTACCATAGCTGCAATATATCTAGTTCGCAACGGCAGTGACTGTTGGATTTCAATCTCTGGGTTTAGGGCTGGTGCTCACTTGCCTTGCCGGGCCCAAGCTGGAACGGGACCCTGGAATGCTGCAACCCTGGAACTTGTTGGTTTAAAATTATGCTGGGTTAATTCGGATACATGTGCGAACAGTATGGAACTGTGATTTGCTGATTTGCTTGTTGTACTGGCACTGGTTGTTTTTTTGTGTTCTTTTGAGACTTGAAAACACGCAATCTATATCCAGGCGCGTTTGTAGGTGACGCATAGGAAGCAGACAATTCTGTCCAACCAGCTAATGCTTCAGCAGTGTTTTGCGAGTATGCGAGCTGTGTCTATTACATGCTGAAACGGCATGCTTACGCCTACACATTGAAGTATTGTTTTCCAGGTTTCAACAAAATCGTCCCCAAGAAAGACATGTTTTTTGCGTGCTGGGTGAAGAACAAGCCGACCTCGCACGAAGTTTGAAGAAGGGTCCTTTTCAATCCTTTTCACATCATTTTGATTCAGGGACGGCCTCAGTGGAACTATTGAAAGGGCCATAAGTGAAAAGGGGCGTCGTGCTCAAAAATCAAAGTATCAAGAAATATCAAGAATCAAGCCTTAACAGCATGGAACCGCCTGCAAATCCAAGAATAAAAGAGAAAACCATGATACAAAACCCAGATCAATCCAGCGTTCTCCCTTAGCGCCGATGCTGAATCCAATACTCAAGCATTGAGACAGCCCAGGATATCCTGTGCTGAACTACAATGACGACCCAAACGACCCGAAGCCATGTGAAATTCTCAGCTGGCACAATTCTGCCAAAGTCAGCATTGCTTTTTCTGGCAACATCCGGCAACTATTATAGAAAATATATAAATGGAGCGGCAGTCACGTGCAGTCGGTGCCTAAGGCCAGAACGAGGTCGAAACAGAGGACGCAGACATGAAATTTACTTCAGACTCAGAGATGAAAATTGAATAGGTGAGTCTCAGGTGGACAATCCCGAAGATGACAATTGCCTCGCGGTCCTGGTGGACATGGGTTTCCAAGAGGGACACCGGGCATTTGTGACAATGTTTGACGATTGGTATATACTATTATAATCTATTATAATCTATTATAATCTATTATAATCTATTATAATCTATTATAATCTATTATAATCTATTATAATCTATTATAATCTATTATAATCTATTATACCGAACCAGGTGTGGTTCCGATATTTTGTGCGCCGTGGTCAGAACATAGGGAATTAAATTGCCCATGTTGGGGTACGGACGGTCATTAATCATTAATCCATGAACGGAGATTTAATACCCATTGTAAGGATTCCCATTGTGATGGCTTTGACTACCATGCTTTAACCGCGGCACATGTAGAGTCTGTTTTACTGAATGGTGCGAGTGTCATCTCTGGGTTGCCGGCAACATGCAAATTGATCGTGCTGGCGCGTCAGCCATAGTCGTTTGAGGATTTTTCTTGAGACATGCATTCAGCGTAGTCTCTGTTTTCGGATCGCTCATTGGCTTCCTTCTCATCACGGAAAAGATTCATAGGTCCTAAATGACATATTTCATGTGAGTTGCTGAACATTTGCCTGCAAGTGTACGCCATGTATGGGCTCCGACTGACTTACTGTAATTAGTACCAGGTTCCGAGAGTTGTCGATCGGTGGTGCTGCTGCTTGGGCCCTTCCATCCCTGTTTCCCCTTCAGCAAGTTGAGTCAATGTGTTCACCTTCATGCTGGGTGATTGGGCTTTTTCAGCGACTTAAAAGCAGGCAGCTGAATCCAAGCGGCACTATTTCAAGGGTGTACAGAGCACTTGGCAGATAGGGCGTCAAACGGGGCCTTTTGTCTTTGTAGATCAAACCGAGCCGAAATCATGGGACAAGCTAGACCTTTGTTGTGGAAGGCCCCCAGGCCCTGCGCCGACATAAAACACGTTCCGTTGCACAGAGCAGTATGGAAGGTTAAAAAGAGTCAGCGGCAGTGCTGCCAAGAGAACAGCACTGTGGCCCCAAGATTCCCCTAGCGGCCCTAGCGCTTGCATTGACTGTTTGCAGGTTCTGACTCAATGATCTCAGTCATGATGTTTGCGCAAGTGTTTGCGCTATTTTGCACTCCTTCCATTGAGCATGCAAATTGAAACACGGACGAGTAGCACCTCTGTTTTCAGGCATTTTGTTGTGTTGGCACTTCCCTTCACTGCCACAGGTTAAATCAGCTGAACAACCAGGTTTGTGAGAGCGGTATCCAGCGGGCAACGGCACTTTCCAAGTTTTCAGGGACGGACCAGCGAGGGCATAGGGTCCCCAAAAATAGCCGGCCGCTTCGCTCCTGAGATGCAGCAGTTTGAGATGAGTTGCATCGCATCCGCCTTGGCATTTTGGCACCAGCTGTTCCAGATAACACTCATTACTCCAATCCTAAATGTGATACGAATACGGGGAAATGATTGGAGAACTGTGAGCCTTTGAACATGCTGCACATCGGAGTGGAATGCAAGGTGCTTCATCCACATGGACCCATACACACAACCAGAGGTCTAAGCGCACCTCCTTCATAATTGGTCGGTTCTACGCGCCACGTGTCACAACTGCCATGGCCAAGGCCTCTGGCAAGGCCTTTCAAGACTGATAATTAGATGATATTGTGTATCCCTGCAGATTACTTAATGTAGGTGCAATTTCTGGGCAAAGTTTGGTGATGTTCCAATATTATGTTGTTTTAGCTTTTCAGGGTTTTCATGATATGCCTTGCCGTGGCATTCTTCACATAGGAACCCCTGATAAAGGATGATAAAGGAACCTGTTTGCCATGACGCATCACAAACCAGGAAATGCATCTTGCAAGGTCTCCGGGCGGTGTCCTTGCCAAACCACTTGTGATGCTAAAATATGCTAAATGCTAGTGCTGTGTGATGCCCTGCTTGTCAGTTAAGCCATCACCAAATGATTCAAATGATTCACCATCGGGTAAAAGTGATACCCACCGAGAAGGTCAGGCAGAAGCGGTGCAGTGCAAAATCTCCACTTCGTAAGTAAAGCTGGCTGGGAGTTTCTCCGAGCAGGTCTTAGGGAGGATGCGAACTGCCAAAAGAGCGCCACCAAAAGCTTGGGCAAAGGTGGTAGCCTCAGCAGTTTTGATTTAGTGCCTAATTATATAATTGGATTGGATTATGAAGCAATTGAAGTAACCATGGATGGTTGGTTCACAATGTCAATGTTGGTTGATGATTGAGCCATCCGATCAATTTGCTTGATGCTTGATGTGTTTTCTTTCTGCAGGCCAGGGATGGTGCCGAGAAAGTGGACAAGCAGCCAGAGATGCCGCGTTTGGGTGCCATGCATGGGTGGCGCGGCGGCAACAAGAGAGATGCCTTGTCGACACTACATTGGCGTGGGCAGCTTCCGCCGCCGCCCGACTGGAGGCCAGCGGCAAGTCTCGAGGCGAGGACGGGATGGGTCAAAATTGCGGGACCACGTGCGGCCACCAGAAAGGTCCAAACATTTTAGATGTTCCCAAGATGTGCGTGTTTGATTCTGTTTTCCATGTTTCCTGACATTGAATGATACAGGAAAAAAAGTGTTGGGATGTTTCAACATGTTTTAAACCGAATATTGTGGAGTTCACTAGATGGTTGGTCATCACGATAGATTGTTACATGTTATTACTGTCCACTATTACAGCAATACTCCACAATAAAGAAACATCGTGGTCCTTTGAGCACTTTGGGTCTTAAGTGTGGACCATTGCCCCCCAAAGAACAACTGTCATTGGGGGTGCACACAGACTGAGATCCCGGTCGCAACACCCCATGCTCGCATGTTTGGGGGGGATATGGGGGGAATAATTTATCACGAAAGTTACGGGGATCCAAGTATTCACTACGACGCCTTTCATTTTACTACCCACCCCCTTCCCCCCACTAAATAGACCTTTGAGATGTTTATTCTCTTGCATATTGCATATCTGAGATATGTTTCGGACTTTTGGTTGAGCAATCAATGTGCTTTGGTGTGTTTGCTTTGGATTTGTCTTTAAGCAGTCCACGCTCATTGTTTTTGTCGCTTTGAGTGGTTTGCAGGGATTGCGGTCATTCACGGTCCTATTTCCTAGTCGACTGGGCGGTTCTAGTGTTTCTTGTTCGCCAGTGGTGTCTGAGAAAATCATCCTGCTTCGAATGAACGAAACAAACACAAGTACAAAAGAACCTGGATCGGACCGTTGGTCGTGTGATTTTTAGTTCTGCCCATCACAAGTCACAAGTTCTCTTGAAATCGGATGAAATCGGTACGCTGCCCCTATAGGTCTCCCTTCAAAGAAGAAAAAAACAAGATGCAGCCCACGAACCCGAATGCTCACACGTATGTTAATGGCACAGATGTCGAAACACATGGATATGCAGTCACACAGAACACGTTTCCGCAATATATAGTTTATTTGAACTGTCTTGTACATATTTCCCCTGTTACCAGTCTGCAGTGTGGAGTGGAACGTGTAGAGTGTGGAGTGTGGAGTGGGAAGTGTGAAGTGTGGAGTGTGGAGTGTAAAGTAAGGAGTGTAAAGTGTGGAGTGGGGAGTGTAGAGTGTGTGAAGTGCAGAGTGTGGAATGTAGAGTGTAAAGTGTAGAGTGTGGAGTGTGGAGTGGAAAGTGTAGAGTGTGGAGTGTGGAGTGTAAAGAGTGTGGAGCGTAAAGTGTGGAGTGGGGAGTGTAGAGTGTGTAAAGTGTAGAGTGTGGAGTGTAGAGTGTAAAGTGCAGAGTGCAGAGTGTGGAGTGTGGAGTGTAAAGTAAGGAGTGTGGAGGGTAAAGTGTGGAGTGTGAAGCGTAGAGTCTGGAGTGTGGAGAGTAGAGTGTGGAGTGTGGAGTGAGGAGTGAGGAGTGTCGAGTGTAAAGTGTGGAGTGTGGAGTGTAGAGTGTGGGGTGTGGAGTGTAGAGTGTGGAGTGTGGAGTGCAAAGTGTGGAGTGAGGAGTGTAAAATGTAAAGTGTGGAGTGAGGAGTGAAAAATGTAAAGTGTAGAGTGCGGAGTGTGGAGTGTAAAGTGTGGAGTGGGGAGTGTAGAGTGTGTAAAGTGTAGAGTGTGGAGTGTAGAGTGTAAAGTGTAGAGTGTAAAGTGTGGAGTGTAAAGTGTAAAGTGTAGAGTGTGGAGTGTGAAGTGTAGAGTGTGGAGTGTAAAGTGGAAAGTGTAAAGTGTGGAGTGTGGAGTGCGGAGTGTAAAGTAAGGAGTGTGGAGTGTAAAGTTTGGAGTGTGGAGTGTAAAGTGTGGAGTGTGGAGTGTGGAGTGAGGAGTGTGGTGTGTGTAGAGTGTAGAGTGTGGTGGAGTGTGGAGTGTAAAGTGTGGAGCGGGGAGTGTACTCGTAGAGTGTGTAAAGTGTAGAGTGTGGAGTGTGGAGTGTAGAGTGTAAAGTGTAGAGTGTGGAGTGTGGAGTGTAGAGTGTCGAGTGTGGAGTGTAGAGGGTGGAGTGTGGAGTGCAAAGTGTAGAATGTGGAGTGTGGAATGTAAAGTGTGGAGTGTCAAGTGTGGAAGGAGGAGTGTAAAGTGTGGAGTGTAAAATGCAAAGTGTGGAGTGTAAAGTGTAGAGTGTAAAGTGTAGAGTGTGGAGTTTGGAGTGTAAAGTGTGGAGTGTGGAGTGTAAAGTGTGGATTGAGGAGTGTATAAAGTATAGAGTGAGGTGGAGTGTAGAGTGTGGAGTGTAAAGTGTAGAGTGTAAAGTGCGGAGCGCATTGTTGCGCCAGGCACACAAAAGAAATTTCGACACGGTATAAAACAGGTTGGAATGTCACAAAGTGCCTTGCCTGCCACGCAAAACCACAACTTTCGAAAAGGAGAGGTTTTGCAGCTTCCCCCATAGAAACGGCGACGTGTCTAGAAAACCAGAGACTTGAGACGAGACACGTGGGCACAGCAAAACGAGCATTTCGTGGGAGATTTCCTCCAATTTTGACACTTTCGACACGTTATCAAACAGGTTGGAATGTCACAAAGTGCCACACCTGCCACGCAAAACCACATGACAACCTGCTTGAAAACCTTCGAAAAGGAGAGGTTTTGCAGCTTCCCCCATGGACACAGCAAGGCAACAGGAAAACCAAAGACTCGAGACGAGACACGTGGGCGCAGCAAAACGAGCATTTCGTGGGAGATTTCCTCCAATTTTGACACTTTCGAAACGTTATCAAACAGGTTGGCATGTCACAAAGTGCCGCACCTGCCACCAACGCTGATAAAACCTTCGAAAAGGAGATGTTTTGCAGCTTCCCCCATCAGGAACACCAGAGACTCGAGACGAGACACATGCATTTCGTTGGCTAATTTTCACAGTTGGAAACATGCGAAAAGGAGGTTTTGCAGCTTCCCCCATAGACACGGCGAAGCCACAGGAACACCAGAGACTCGAGACGAGACACATGGGAGCACCAAAACGAGCATTTCGTTCGAGACTTCCGCTAATTTTCACAGTTGGAAACATGCGAAAAGGAGGTTTTGCAGCTTCCCCCATAGACACGGCGACGCCACAGGAACACCAGAAACTCGAGACGAGACACATGGGAGCACCAAAACGAGCATTTCGTTCGAGACTTCCGCTAATTTTCACAGTTGGAAACATGCGAAAAGGAGGTTTTGCAGCTTCCCCCATAGACACGGCGAAGCCACAGGAACACCAGAGACTCAAGACGAGACACGTTGGCACAGCAAAACGAGCATTTCGTGGGAGATTTTCTCCAATTTTGACACTTTGCAGCCTCAAAATCGACGTTTTCCTACGATTAGGAACCTTTGAATTTGCTACCTCAAAATCGATGTTTCGTGCCAGGCGTCCGTCGATTTTCAGCACATCCCACAAATTAAATGCCACGCCGTCGCCACTTGACGCATCCCTGCCACTGCGGTTCGCAAAAAACACGCAACTCGACACGTCCAAAGTGCTGCGCCTGCCATGAAAAATGACGATGGACACGTCCAAAGTGCTGCGCCTGCTTGCCACGCATCTTCTGAAAACGTCGCGAAAGTATTGCCACACAAAACGATTTTCGCCGCGTTACAAAACACGTCTGAATGTCACGAAGTGCCACGCTTGCCACGCGAAACGAAGCAACGGTACGTTTGAAACCTCGAAAAAGCACCCCTTCTGCAGAAATTACCATAGGCACGGCCATATAGCAATCGCGTGGACGGTTGCGAACGGTTGCGAACGGTTGCGAACGGTTACGAACGGTTGCGAAGGGTTGCGAACGGTTGCGGACGTAAACGCAACGTCGAGCGAACACACCCTCAACCCCCAGACCCCCAGAGTGAAACGGGAACCATTGCTACGCATTCGGGAAATAGATTTCTGACACAGGCCCCATGTGACCCAATTTTCATACAATCCTTTTTGGATAATTGGTGCGCTGGATCTCTCAGTCCGGTTTCCCTGAAAATGTTAAATTCGACACGTGGGCCCTGCCTCCAAACTTGATCTCCAGTGTCACTCGAGCCTTGCCACCCCACTTCTTCTACTCTCCATTTTAGCTCCTACTGTACCTTTCGCGGTCACCTTCTCCAGTCATCTCAAGCTCCATCGACCAATGGGGCGTGTTTTTCCTTGAGGACTTCTTGGCACGGCAACGGGACCATTGTATCAAGGCCTTTGGCGACCTGTGCGCAAAGATGCATGACTATGCTTTCACCTCTGTGACGCTGACAGATCACCCGGAGTATGGATTTCAACATGGTCTGACGAATGCACTGGACGCTACGGGAACACCCTTGAATGAGAAGGAGGCGCGACAGGCATTGAAATTCTTGTCAACGAGCGGCAAGGACTTTGAGCTGGTTCTTGTGAAGACAGACTTTTATGACTCTTGACTTTGTTGATCGGAGACCTGTTGTCTGTGTGTGTGTGCGCGCGTGTGCGTTTGATATATCCTTCCTTAACGTGACAAATAATGGCGGATCTTGATTAGTGTAGGGGGCCCCAAACATTTGAAGGGGGCTGTTTAGGCTTGTCACTTTTGAGGGACCGGACCAATTATGTTAGATCATGATCTTAGGTGATTAAGGATTTCACTTGTTTCAATTTACCTTCAATTTACTTTCAATTTGCTTTCAATTGATAATCGTAGAGCTTCGCACACCGACGATGCCATAAGGGTTTTGTATTAATAGTAGTGTGAGCGTTGCTGTTGTGCATGTGCTTTGCGCGAGATCGCAGGTGCAGAGCACAGTGTGATGTTCTTTTCATTTCTCAGCTTGTAACCATCTTACCACATCGTTTTGTCATGTTTTGTCACATTTTTCTGCTTGTGCTTCTGCCTCTGCTTCTGCTTCTTCTTCTTCTCCTTCTTCTCGTCGTCGTCGTCGTCGGCGGCGGCGGCGTCGGCGTCGGCGTCGGTGTTGCTGTTGGTGTTGTTGTTGTTGTTGTTGCTGCTGCCCCTGCAGCTTTTTTTTGTCAATCTCGTAATAGCCGAAAATCGTCAAATAGGCTGTTTTCACGTTTTTTTTGATGTTGTTTGAAAGTCTCGGGGCCAAAAAAACCGTAATAAGCCCAAAGAGTATCCCCAACAGCCAGAAACAAAAACAGCTACCAAACACGCAATGGGTGAAGTATGTTTATTGCCCAGCCCTTCTTACTCTAGAGGTCGGGCGTGCAAGGCGCAATCACGGCACAAACGCTTTATGAAAAACTGTTTTTCCCAAAGCGTTTGCAATACTGTGGAAGCTGAAGGGCCAATATTCTCGAAGCTTGTGAGAAAGGTTTTTCTCAAAGAACTGCTGTCCACCTCACTCTTCACTTCATCTACCTAACATACATCATCCACATCTCTTATGTCCTTTACATCACCTACATCTTATATACCATCTTCTACACCATCTTCTCTACATCTACATCTACATCATCATCATCATCATCATCATCATCAGCATCATCATCATCATCACCATCTTCATCATCATCATCATCGTCATCGTCATCATCATCGTCATCGTCATCATCATCGTCATCGTCATCGTCATCATCATCACCACCTACACACCCTACACATTTGTCCATATACCTTTTCTACAACACATACATTACCTACATCATCATCTACATCACTACATTCTCTACATCACCCACATCACCTACATCTTCTGCACCATCTTCTCTACATCATCATCACCACCACCATCATCATCATCATCATCATCAGCATCATCTATCACACCTACATCATCGACATCACCTTCACAAACTTTTCCCATTAACGTCATCTACATGACATACATCATCTACAACGCATACATGACCTACATCATCATCTATATCACTACATCCTCTACATCACCTGCATCTTCTAGTCGATCTAACCTTACATCACTTACAACATCATCCTCATCATGTACAATATAGACAACATCACAAAGCATCAGCTACAGGTGATCAACTTCTAGGGAACTCCTACAAAACTGGAAAATGCTATTTACACAGGAGTTGACTTGCAGGTGATCCACTTCTACTTGAACTCCTACACGACTCCTGCAAGGTCATTTGCACAGGATTTGTTACACAGGATTTGCTACACAGGCGTTCAGCTAACTTCCAGGTGATCAAACTGTATCTGAACTCCTGCAAAATCAGACTTCTCCAGTTCTTCTATTTCTCTCTGGCGGCAGGGACAGCCAGGCGGTGGCTTACGAACCGTTACCCTCTGCGGCGTGTCGGACACCCAAACGTGTGGCAAAATGCGGGTCTTCTTTGTCCTTGGGCAACCCTCTGTGGAGATCGCGCGTGTCGAATGGGCAAACATGTGGTGTGGGGAAAGGCTTCGCCCGCAGCAACCGTCTGCGGAGATCGTGCATTTCAGACGCCCAAACATTTGGTGGAATGTGAATTTCTTTTGGGCACGGGCAACCCTCTACAGAGATCGCGCAGGTCGGACACCCAAACATGTGGCAAAATGCAAATTTGGTGAGGCCCGGCGCAGCCCCTTCGCACGAAACGAGGGTCAACCGTCAAAAACTGGTGTAATATTGTGATTGAAAGTCCAGATGCAAGCGTGGCACAAAAGTCAAATGGCAATAACTGTGGGAAAACTGTGATTTTTTAATGCCAGATTGGTGTAAAATTGCGACTTTATCCATTTTGAAACGTCAGGCACAACTGTCTCGCGCGAATTAAAACTTGTGTAAAATTGCGATTTTACAAGGTCAGGCGAAGGCCTTTCACGCAAAATGATTGTCCAAGGTCAAAATTTGCGATTTTCCAACGCCAGATGCAACCCTTTCGCACGATATGATGGCCGAACGTGAAAAACTTGAGTTAAATTGCGATTTTTTGAAGCGTGTAAAAGCTGCTCTGTGGAATCGGTTTTTCTGTGGGAAAGCGTCTGTGTAAAGGCTTCTCTGTGCAAAAGCTTCTGTGCGCAAAAGCCTCCGTGTGTACAAGCTTCTGTGTGTAAAGGCGTCTGTGTGTAAAAGCTCCTGTGCGTAAAAGCTTCTCTGTGTAAAAGCTTCTGTGGAAAAGCTTGTGTGTGTGTGTAAAACCTTCTGTGTGTAAAAGATTTTCTGTGTAAAGGCTTCTCAGTGTCAAAGCTTCTGTGATTCTCTCAGAACAATCTGTGTCTAAAAGCTTCTGTGTGTATAGGCGTGTATATGTCAAAGCATCTCTGGGTAAATGCTTCTGTGTGTAAAGGCATCTGTGTTCAAAAGCTTCTGTGTGTAGAAGCATCTGCCGCATCTGTGTGAAGAATTTTTGTGTACATGCCTCTGTGTAAAGACCTGTCTGTGTAGAAGCTTGGGCATTTGCGTGTTTAAAGTTTCTGCGCATATAAGATTGTAAAAGCTGCTCTGTGCAAAGGCCTCTCTCTGTGTAAAAGCTTCGGTGTGTAAAAGCTGCTCTGCGAACAAGCTTCTATGAGTAAAAGCTTCTGTGTGTAAAAGCTCTGTGTGTAAAGGCGTGTGTGTGTGCGTGGACCATCTGAATAGATGTAAAACTTCTATCCGTTTTTTGGTGCACTACTTGTTTGATTTGACTCTTCATGAATTGGTTTTTTCAATTTTCACGCAGGGGGGCAGTGAATCTCATTCCATCCACTGCCCAACGAAGACGGTGGTTGTTTGAGATTGTGATATCGGGACTGATCATCCCGACGTACCTGCAATTTCCAATTTTCAGTTTATCGTCAATGGCTACCGGCTAAGCCCAGAACCGGCATGTCGTTTTTCAAACAGTTTCCATTTGGTGTCACGCCAACCTATTGAAGATTGAGCTGCATCAGAACATTCCTTTGAGCAAGGACGTAGAAAGCTTACTTCGCACTGAATTCCACGTTGGGTCATCCAATTTCTCCTGTCACTGAGCAAGTGTGTCACTCATACCGTTGTCCGACAAGGTGGTATGAGCCCTTCGGGGAAAGCCTTTCTAGGCTAAAAATTGACGGTAAAACGATGTCTGAATTTACACTTTTGAATTAGTAATTCGTTTAAGTAGAGTGAACTGCTGGCCTTTTCATTTCTTCGTCTCACATGTCGGTCGAGTGAGCGTTGAACAACTGGCCGCTGCATGTGGCTTCACCATTTTCCAGAGATGCAAGGGTTTGTAGCCTGAAGCCACGACAACCTTCGTTCGGTTATATCAAGAGACTGACCGCAGCCATTTTCACATGATTTCACAGGCAACAGGACATCCTTGCAGGTATGGTATTTCTTTCTTTTATGGTCGTTGGTGAGGTTCAATTGTGCACGTAATTCAGGGGTTGAACACGTAAGCTGTCCAGAGGGTCGTGAAATGAATGCCGAGGGCCTTTGAGCCTTATCACGAATTTTGCATGCGTTGTGGATGCATCTTATCTTTTTGAACTAATTTTGCAGTTCACAAACCTGACAGTGCTGCCATGTTTCCTGGACGGTATCCTGCCGTTCCCGACAACATGTGGACCTTCTGGAACCCGCAAACGATGGGACTTCAAAGTCAATTTTGTGGCGGTGATCTTATGAACCAACAGTCACAGGCTCAGTCTCAAGCTCAGACTCAGGCACAACTGGCAGCTCTCAGAGAGCAAAATACCATCCTGAATCAACAACTTGCGTCACAGGCTCAATCTCATATCCAGCACCTCCAACAACTTCTTCCATTCCACCAATCCACGTTCAATCCACATCCAGCTCAGTCCACACCAACAGTGCCTGAACCACCAACACCGGTGGCACCTCAATCCACACCACCGGGATCCAGTGTATCCTTCAATGCAGAAGAGATGATGCAACAGATGAAGAACACGGTTGAATCCAGCATGCAAGCGTTTGTGGACAAGAACCAAGAGCGCAACATGAGCCAACCTCCTACTCCCGCTCAACCACCAATTCAAGCCTCTCCACCTATTCCAAGTCATCCTCCTCCACCAGATGATGTTCCACCACCACCACAACATACTCACCGTCGCTCTCGCTCTCGCTCCCACCGGCACCGTGGGGCACCGGACAAACGTCCAATCTCTGTTCCACGCAGTCCTCGTCGAGACAAATCGCCCAGACGAACACATCGTTCCTCTCGACCACGCTCGTCACACAGGAGACGCCATTCGACTTCGAGGGATCCATCCAGACGTCCCAGCAGAGCTACATCTGTCACCTTGCGTTCAGCCTCTCCACGTCGACGAGAAGTACTACCAGACAATGATGATCTACGACGTGATGAACCCAGCCATGAACTAGCTACACTTCACCCTGCATCGTGGGAACATCAACGCTACCATCAAGATCCATCATCCCACAATGAGTACTACCAGTATGACTACCAATCCTCTGACCAGCCATCCGCAAACAAGTGGAAATCCTGGCACCAATGGAAGGACCATCCAAAACCTCAGTATCGAACCCATCCA